AAAAACTCACTGCGTAGCCGCGTAGCCACGTAGCCACTAAAAAATATACCTACAGTATTATACTTTAGTAATTACGTCATCATATCAATGTCTCCTTCTTTTATAAAAACTCACTGCGTAGCCGCGTAGCCACGTAGCCACTAAAAAATATACCTACAGTATACTTTAATAATTACGTCATTATACCAATTTCTCGTTCTTTTATAAAAACTCACTGCGTAGCCACGTAGCCACTAAAAAATATATACCTACAGTATACTTTAATAATTACGTCATCATACCAATTTCTCGTTCTTTGAAAAACTCACTGCGTAGCCGCGTAGCCACGTAGCCACTAAAAAATATACCTACAGTATTATACTTTAGTAATTACGTCATCATATCAATGTCTCGTTCTTTTATAAAAACTCACTGCGTAGCCACGTAGCCACGTAGCCACTAAAAAATATACCTACAGTATACTTTAGCAATTACGTCATCATACCAATTTCTTGTTCTTTCAAAAACTCACTGCGTAGCCACGTAGCCACTAAAAAATATACCTACAGTATACTTTAATAATTACGTCATTATACCAATTTCTCGTTCTTTTATAAAAACTCACTGCGTAGCCGCGTAGCCACGTAGCCACTAAAAAATATATACCTACAGTATACTTTAATAATTACGTCATCATACCAATTTCTCGTTCTTTGAAAAACTCACTGCGTAGCCGCGTAGCCACGTAGCCACTAAAAAATATACCTACAGTATACTTTAATAATTACGTCATTATATCAATGTCTCTTCCTTTTATAAAAACTCACTGCGTAGCCACGTAGCCACGTAGCCACTAAAAAATATACCTACAGTATTATACTTTAGTAATTACGTCATTATATCAATGTCTCTTCCTTTTATAAAAACTCACTGCGTAGCCACGTAGCCACGTAGCCACTAAAAAATATACCTACAGTATACTTTAATAATTACGTCATTATACCAATTTCTCGTTCTTTTATAAAAACTCACTGCGTAGCCGCGTAGCCACGTAGCCACTAAAAAATATACCTACAGTATACTTTAGTAATTACGTCATCATATCAATGTCTCCTTCTTTTATAAAAACTCACTGCGTAGCCTCGTAGCCACGTAGCCACTAAAAAATATACCTACAGTATATTTTAATAATTACGTCATTATACCAATTTCTCGTTCTTTCAAAAACTCACTGCGTAGCCGCGTAGCCACGTAGCCACTAAAAAATATACCTACAGTATACTTTAATAATTACGTCATTATACCAATTTCTCGTTCTTTTATAAAAACTCACTGCGTAGCCGCGTAGCCACGTAGCCACTAAAAAATATACCTACAGTATTATACTTTAGTAATTACGTCATCATATCAATGTCTCGTTCTTTTATAAAAACTCACTGCGTAGCCGCGTAGCCACGTAGCCACTAAAAAATATACCTACAGTATTATACTTTAGTAATTACGTCATCATATCAATGTCTCGTTCTTTTATAAAAACTCACTGCGTAGCCACGTAGCCACGTAGCCACTAAAAAATATACCTACAGTATACTTTAATAATTACGTCATCATATCAATGTCTCCTTCTTTTATAAAAACTCACTGCGTAGCCACGTAGCCACTAAAAAGTATATCTACAGTATACTTTAATAATTACGTCATTATACCAATTTCTTGTTCTTTCAAAAACTCACTGCGTAGCAGTTACGCTTTAGTAATTACGTAATCACTTCATTGCCTCGTTCTCGTACCCACTGCGTAGCCGCGTAGCCACCGATATTTCTGGCGGGTCTTCAAAAGTGGACGGGTATTCTGCAATCGCTCCATAAATTTAGAGCAGAGATTCTGCAACTAGGCATCGTTTTGTGAAGGCCAGTTACAATTATAGCGTGCCTTATTAAATACATTTCTGGTCTAGTAGTTGGCTATTTAAATAATTTAGTCTTACCATTTGGGGAAGGGAGATTCAGCGTCATCCAGGACCTGCTCGTACGGCTTAAACCAATCTATATTCTTTG